AAACAACCCAACAGAAAAACAGGCAAGGGGTATGGGCAGGTGTTCTACAGAAGAGGAAACATATACAGTTAATAAACAAGGAGGTACTCGACCTCACTGGCAATCAGAAAAATGCATTCATTCGATTTGCAAATGCCAATATCTGGCTGAGCTGAATGTTGGAGAGGATGTAGGTGCATAGTTCTCTCAGTGCCTTAGAGTGTATAAACACCCACTTTGAGAAATGTTCCCACACGCCACTGCCCAACAATTTCAATCCTAGTTAGACACACAAACTTCCACACGCACCAAAAGACATTTCATAGTAGCATAGTTCTCAATAGCAAAAATAAGAGAGTAGATTAAACATATTCTGTTGAATATTCCACATAATGGAATGCTCTCCATGGTTCAAAGTGAATGAGCCACTGTGTTACACAATGTGAATAAATCTTGGTGCTATCATCTTCAGTGCAAAAGTAAATCCCAAAATATAACCTATAACAACGATGGCCTTCCTTTCTTCCTTTTCTCTCTTTCTCTTTCTTTATCTCTCTTTCTTCCTTTCTCTTTTTTGTTTCTTTCTTCCTCTCTTTCTCTCTCTTTCTTCCTTTCATTCTTCTTTCTTTTTTCTTTTTTAGTTTCTGTTGCAGGGTGTGTGCAGAGAGGGACAGAGAGAGAGAGAAGGTGAGGAATCGCCAACCCAGGGTGATGGTCATGCCATGATACCTTCTTCATTCTCATCTTGGTATTTTGGGCACATACACTCTCATGCCCAGGGTGTTCTTCAAGCTGCCAGGTTTAGGATTAGAACCATGCAGTTGGCCCTGTGCGATCCAGCCATCATGCCACTGGCTGGCCCAATGATACCCTTTTTATAAAACTAAAACTAAATCACATTAAAATACATGCCACTTAGTAATATATGTACATGAAATAAAATTATATAAAAAGGATTGCTGGACTCCCACGCAGTTGACCACGGTTTGAATCCTGGACCCAGTGGCTTAAAACTCATGCTGGGCGCATGTGCGTGTGTACCCAAGATTCTGAGAGGATAGTGAAGGACAAATTATTGCAGCATGGCCGTCCCCCTTGGGAGGTGATTTCTTGCTTTCTGTCTCTCTGTCTCTGTCTCTCTAGTGAGCACATGAGCCCTATAGCAAAAACCTCTCAAAAAAATACACACACACACACACACACACACACACACACACACACACACACATATATATATATATTGGAAAGCAGGGAATGATGCATCCAAAATGTAGTAAATGTATAACATGGGAGGGGTAGGGGATGGGACGATGAACCCTATGTTGGGTTTTGTATTTGTAGGAGCTTATACATTATTACAAAACAGTACCTAGGGACTAGCCAGGTGACGTGGTGGTTAGAGAAGCTGGATCCCACATGGCTGAGTATGTGGTTTGAGTTCCGGATCAGGTGCCTTGAAAAACACACTGGGCTTGTGCACACGTGTGCACAAATCCTGAGAGGACACTGGAGGTGAAGGAATTGCACTGTGGCCATCCTTCCTTGGGTATGCTTTCTCACGTTCCCTCTCCCTTTCTTTCTCTGTCTCTGCCTGGCAAGTGTACATGTCCTATAGCAAATTAAAAAGACATAAACAAACAACAACAACAAAACCCAAACAAATAGACAAGTAGAGTTACTCACATAACAACTATTACAAGTGCACTATGAAACAGGTATTGTAACTAATCTAATTCAGTAAAAACTAAATTCTATTTGTGGAAATAAAAGAGGGTCGGGCAAATTAGGCATGGCAGTAGTGGGAAAAGTCCAGGGCTCGGAGTCGAGGATCCCAGTATGTAATCTTATTTATTTATTTATTTATTTATTTTTGAGAGGTTTTTGCTATAGGGCGCGTGCGCTCACCAGACAGAGAGAGACAGAGAGACAGAAAGCAAGAAATCACCCCCCAGGGGGGATGGCCACGCCGCAATTTCTTCTCCTCCATTCTCCTCTTGGGATCCTGGGCGCACATGCACGCGCGCCCGGCTTGAGTCTTAAGCCATCAGGTCCAGGACGCGAACCGTGGTTGACTACATGGGAGTTCAACAACATAGCCATTATGCTAACTGCTGGTCCCAACAGTATGTAATCTTATGAAAGTGCTTTAATCACCCTGAGTCTCAGTTTTCTGTGCCACTTCCGTATAACGGGTTAAAATACTGAGTCCATCGTGGGGATTAAGTGAGAAAATGTTTGTTAAAAGTCCTGTGCAAGCTCCTGGCCTGCCTCCTGAGTTCCTCTGTCTGCTGTGTCCCCAACAGCAGGTTGGTATGTACCAGGTAGGTCATTAGGTTATGGGGACTCTCAGGGGACCCTTGAATGGGAAGAGGTCACTGAAGAGCAACCATCAGTCTGAGGGGGAAGGAAGGGGGCAGCCCAGTTCCTCTGTCTGAGTGATAATTAGGTTGGGGATTTTGAGGTTGATTCACTATTTTAAACTCTTGTGTCTTGTCTCTAGAACAAACAGCACCCCACCCATCTCTCCCACCTCTCCCCGCCCTAATCTCTGTATCCTTGGCAGTCCTAGCAGTTACGTCAAAAAGTATCTGATTTTTTATTAGAAGGTTCAGAGGCAATGTAGCCAGCATGGTGGAATCCATGCTGGCTTTTGTAGCAGAGGTAACTAGAGCATCCCCATGCCTGTGTTCCTCTTTCCTGGCACAGAGAAAGCTGTACCTCCCAGCTCCCTGGAAGCCCAGGGGACTGTGTAAGTGACTAGTTAGTGGGTGTGGGTGGAAGCCATACGACTGGCCATCTTCAGGCCCCCAGGCTGCTCTCTCGGACAGTGTGATTGCATTGGCCACATGGTGGAGTGGAGGAACCACAGAGGGAGACAGACAGGCTGGGTGAGTTACCGCAAGGAGGACTGCCCTGGAGCTGCACCAGCTCTAAGGACTGCCCTGGAGCTGCACCAGCTCTGAGCGAGCAAAGAAATACATTTTCATTATATAAAGCCACTGAGACTTCACAGAGCGTATTAGTTACCCCAGCACAGCATGGCTTATCCTGACCAAAATAGCCTTCTCTCACATCACGCTGGGTTTCTAAGGTCACCTTGGCTAGAATAGCCCATCATTTGGGCTGGGCCCGTAATCTAGTGGGTAATGGAGCCAGATCCCACATGGCCGGCTGTGGCTGAATCCCAGCACTACTGACTTGAAAAACACACCAGGTGAGTGTGCATGCATACACAGAAGGAGGGAAAGGACTGCAGCATGACCAGGCCCCAGTGAGAGTGCTTTCTCTCGCTCTGACAAATGCACACACCCTCAGGAAATTAGAAAAAAAAAAGTTCATCGTGTACAGTCTGTATGATCTGGATGAAAAGAGTCACAGAACTAGTTCATCCTTTAGTGTCCCATCCTTCAAACGATAAGTTCCTGACTCGTACAATTCTCGTCAAGAGAGGCTAAACTAATGTACTGTTCTTTCCCCAGTGACTGGAGCAGAGTAGGGCCATAACTCATAACTCACAGCTTAGTGCGACTTGCCAGGCTCTCAGCCAGGCCTAATGGGCAGTACAACGAGGTAGAAGGTACGCCCTTCCTTCCCCAAGGTGGACGTGTTGAGCAAAAGAGCCCTGGGCTCAGGAGGATGTAACGGAACCTTATGAGGGCCGTGGAAATGGTGCACACAGAGGCAGTGCAGGAGGGGGTGCTCCAGGAGAAGGAGAAGGGGCCAGACCTAACACACCCTTGTCAGACAGGGCTTGCCAGAGAGAAACAGAGAGAGAGAGAGAGAGAGAGAGAGAGAGGGAGAAAGCACTCCCCAGTGGGGTGCGGTCACATTGCAATCCCTTTCCCTGCATTTCTCTGTCTTACCAGGATTTGGGGCACTCACACACATGCAGCTGGCATGTTTTTCAAACTGCTGGGTCTGGGAATCCAACCACATGACTGTGTGGAATCTGGCTCCCTTAATCACTAGCCACAGGGTTGCCCCAAAGACTTGCACTTTTTGAGTCTGTCAAGGCAGCAGGTAGCAAACATCATCTCTCTGTGTCTGCCCGCACGGATGGTGAGAACCTTTGGCGATGCCTGGTTGAGCTGACTGAAGGACTCACAGAGCCTGCACAGGTGTGGCCCTAAAGACTCTAAGTCCGCAGAGAGGACTGGGGGGGGCTCTAGATGAGGCCACCCTGGACACGTTGTGAATGAAGGCCCAGCTGAGCTCTCCAGCCCTACAAGGCCCAACTGCACCAAGCCAGAGCTATGCAGCCAGAGCTGTCTGCGGCCCTTGGCCGAGTTTAGAAAGCCTTCCTTCAGGACTCAGGGGGCTGCGGAAGGTCTGAGAGGAGAATGGGAGAAGAAGGACCAAGATAGCCACAGGGCCATTCAGGAGCCTGTTCCTGCTTTTATTAGGGTCTTCAGATAAGGCCCAGAGCCTGGACTAGGGCCAGGCCGCAGGGGTGTGGGTTTATATTCAGAAGGTGAGAGGCCTTTGTGCCCTCGCTGGTAAGGGTAATTATATGCCCAGTAAGCATGTATTACAGGATCAGAGGCAAAGCACGGGTTTCCCCCACCCACCGGCTCCCCACCTATGTCAAAGGAAACCAAAAGCAAATTGCTGTCACAAGGATTTGGCCAGGACCACAGAGCCAGACGCTTTTGCAGCTCTGGGGCACTCATCCTTGGCTTTTGGGTCTAGAACAAACTTGGCAGGTCTCCCGTCACCATCTACCCAAGTCCCGGTCATCTGTGTCCTTTTCTTTATGGTCAACTTGGAACAATTTGAGTCAAGACTAGGGACTGTACCAAGTGATGCCATGGCATGGACCCGGGTTCAAGAAGCACTTTCTTCTCTTCGGACCACTTCTGCAAACCACAGTGGACTGGGAAACTATAGCCGGGGCAAGGTGGCCATGAGAGTGCTCTCATAGGCGAGGTGAGGAGCCAGGAAGCCTGAAACAGCTTTGCAGACACGTTTCTCTAAGAGGTTCACGGCCTTCCTGACTCTCAGTTTCACTGTCTTTAAAACAGGGACTGCTTATTTCACAGCAGGCGGCAGGATCCCAGGTTTTCACAGAGGAGAGGGTCAAGCTCCCAGCCTGGCTAATCGCAACAGGCCTTCAGGCAGATGGAGTTTGAAATCAGAGTCTTCGGGAAGGCCGCAGGACACCCACTGGACACGGTCTCACAACACATCCTGCTGGGACTTCAGTAGTCCTCCTCCAGAGAGCATCCTCGGGTCTTCCCTCCTCCTCCTTCGCCGGTTCTGAACCCCCTCTTCTATCCCCCACCAAGTGATGTCTCCCTGAGTCTCCGTCTCACAGCATGGACATTCTGGCTTTGGACTTTGGGAGAGATGTTCCTTGGTCCTTTGGAATGGGCTTTGGAGTAAAAGTAAGGAAACTCTGCCTTGAGCTCAAAGTGAGTCTGGAGGACCAGTGTGGGGGTTTGGCGGGGAATGGGGTCACGAGGGGCTAAGGGGCCTCACGGGTTCTTAAGACCACGCCTGCGACAGCTTGGGAGGCGCCCTGCCCCCTTGATCTCTCCTCTTCTTCCAGACAGCTTGTTATGACAGTTTTCTGGACAACTTTGCATGTTTATTTAAAGTCGTATAGGGATGTTAGGATGGAGAGGACCACATGGTGCGATCCAGGCCCATCCACAATTCTTCTCTTCCCAGTTAACTCCTCATTTGCAAAATGGAGATAATTATACCCACCTGATAAGGTCTTCATGAGGATTCAAGACAACACAAGAGGACCTGGATCAGTGACGAGTGGTGTTTGTGTACCAGGCGCCATGTGGAATGCTGGCCTCTACCTGCTGGGGGCCACATCTCCTCACTTCCTAGGTCTACCCCATGGGCAACACAGTGCAGGTGCTGTCGCTTCCATGTGGCAGCCTGATATGGGAAGACAAAATTTAGGTTCCCCCAGAGCTCTTTTCTCCAGGCAGAGTAGACCTGGGCCCGCAGCTATTCCTCAGATGGGTGGGTCCTCTTCCCGGGCTATCCACACTCCTTTCCAACAAGTCTACTTTATCAGTATCCCTTTAAAAAAATTATAAATATATATTTTAATTTTATTTCAAGTTCTTTTATACATTCAATCACGCTATTTAGCTTGCAAAGTGAATATTCCAACATATGTACATTTCTCCCCAGTCCAGTTGATAATACTATAAAATGATCTTCAACGGATAATACCCCATTTCTTTGTCCCATTAATGCTTTGTCTCTCTATTTTTCTTCTAAATCCTTCCTCAGACTCTAGTCCTTCACCCACCCTCTTCTCACCCTATATCTGGTATTCACAACCATTTACTGTGTTTCTATATCCTTTAGTCATTCAGTTTCAGTCAAAGAGTGCAGACATTCAGTATATATTAAGTGCATACAGTGTCTCTCCTTCACAGCCTGGCTTGCTTCACTCAGCAGTAAATCTTCCATACCATACTCATTTCTGTCAAAAGCCAGGGTCTTGTTGTGTTTCATGACTGAGCAGTATTCCATAGAGTATATGTGCCACAGTTTTTCAATCCATTCATCTGTTCATGGGCATTTGGGCTGGTTCCATGTCTTAGTAATTGTGAATAATGCCGCAATCAATGTTGATGTGCAAGCACTTTTCCGATTAAGAATTCTTCTGTCTTTTGGGTAGATACCAAGGAGTGGGATTGCTGGATCATATGGTAGTTCTATTTGTAGATTTTTGAGGAATCTCCAAATTGTTCTCCACAGTGGTTGGACCAATTTACATTCCCACCAGTAGTGTAAGAGAGCTCCCTTTTCACCACACTCCCATCAGCACTTAAAAAAAAAATTTTTTTTTAATCTTAGTTATTCTGACTGGTGTTAGGTGGTATCTCATTGTTGTTTTGATCTGCATTTTCCTTACAATAAGGGATGTTGAGCATTTTTCATATGTCTTTTGGCTATTCGTACTCCTTAGAGAGTGGTTTTTTCAACTCACTCTCTCATCTTTTAATAGGGTTGATCATCCTTTTTCAGGACAGCTGCTTGAGTTCCTCACGTATTCTGGTTATCTGTCCCTTATCTGATCCATAGTTTACAAAAATATTTTCCCATTCTGAGGGCTGTCAATTCACACTTGTTACTGTGTCCTTTGCTGTGCAGAAACTTCTTAGTCTAATATAGTCCCACTTGTCTATTTTGGGGACTATTGACTGTGCTTTGGGGGTCTTATTTAAAAAATCTTTGCCTGCCCCATTGTCTCCCAGAATTTCCCCAGTGTTTTCCAGGAGAAGTTTTATAGTTTGAGGTCTTAGGTTTAGATCTTTGATCCACCTTGAGTTGATTTTTGTCAATGGTGAAGGGGGGGTTCATATTCATCTTTCTGCAGGTTGATATTCAGTTTTTCCAGCACCATTTGCTGAAGAGGTTTGCCTTTTCCCACTGGACTGACTGGTACCCCTTGTCAAAGATTATTGACTATATATTTGGAAATTTATTTCTGGGGACTCTATTCTGTTCCACTGGTCTACCTGTCTGGTTCTGTGCCAGTACCATACTGTTTTTATTACCACAGCTTTGTAGTATATTTTTGGCTCTGGGAGTGAGATGCCTCCCACTGCACTCTTCTTGTGTAGTATTGTTTTGGCAATACGATGTCTTTTATAATTCCAGACAAATTTTATGATTGTCTTTTCTAGATCTGTGAGGAATGTCTCTGGCACTTTGATTGGGATTGCATTAAATATGTAAATTAATTTGGGTAGAATTGCCACTTTGATTATATTAATTCTTCCAGTCCAGGAACATGGGATGTCCTTCCATTTTTTGTGTGTCATTTTCCATTTCCTTTTTTAGCTTCTTATAGTTTTCCTTATGGAGGTCTTTAACTTCTTTGGTTGGATTTATTCCTAAGTATCTTATACTTTTTGTGGCTATCGTAAATGGAATTATTTTTTTCAGTTCTACCTCAGTCTGCCTGCTGTTTGTATATAGAAATGTTATAGATTTCTGGACCAGCAGTTAGTGTAATGGCTATGTCACTGGACTCCCATGTTGTTGACTACGGTTCAAGACCCGTGCCCGGTTGCTTAAACTTCACGCCAGGCTCATGTGCATGCGTGCCCAGGATCCTGAGAGGAGAATGGAGGAGAAGGGATTGTGGCGTGGCCATCTCCCTGGGAGGTGATTTCTCGCTTTCTGTCTCTCTGTCTCTCTCTTTCTGGCAAACTCACGCGCTCTATAGCAAAAACCTCTAATTTTTTTTTTTTTAAAGAAATGCTATAGATTTCTGTATGTTGATTTTGTATCCTGCAACTTTACTGTATTCATGTATTGCTTCCAGGAATTTTTTCATGGATACCATTGGGTCTTCTATGTATACAATCCTGTCATCTGCTATTTGCAGAAGAGTTTCACCTCTTCTTTTCCTATTTCCTTTTATTTTATTCTCTTTTCTGATTGTGTTGGCAAGGACTTCCAGTACTATATTGAAAAGTGGTGGAGAAAGTGGGCATCCTTTTCTTGTACCAGTTTTTAGTGGAAAAGCTTTCAGCTTTTCTCTATTCAGGATGATGTTCACTATGAGATTTTCCTAGATAGCTTCTATTGTGTTGAGAAATGACACTTCTATGCTGATATTGCTGAGAGCCTTCATCATGAAGGGATGTTGTATCTTACTGAATGTTTTTTCTTCATCAGTTGATATGATCATATGGTTTTTACCTTTCTTTCTGTTACTATGGTGTATTACATTTATGGCTTTTAAAATTGGATGCCGGGATTAACCCCATTTCCTGAGAAGGATCACCAGAGAAGCCACCATGTTTTACTGCAGACTTATTGGAAATAAATGCCAGTTACACCAAATGACCTCTTCCAGAGATGTGCAGTAAGATTTCTGGAGACGGCAAACTAAACAAACAAATAAGATGCATGTTCTCCAGGCCAGCAGATGGCATGGTGGCTAAGATGCTGGACTCCCATATGGTAGACTGTGGTTCGAGTCTCAGACCCTGTGGTCTGAAAATCATGCCGGGCATGTGTGCTTGCATGCCAAAATCCCAAGAGGAGAATGGAACAGGAGGGGTTGCAGTGTTTCTTACTTTCTTGCTCTGTTTCTCTCTCTGGTGAGTGCATGTGCTCTATGACAAAAACCTTTAAAAAAAAAAAAAAGAAGAAGATATATATCCTCACAAGAGATAGGGAGACTTCTGGGATTTTAGAACGTTCCACTTCTCAATCTGAGTGATGGTTACATGGTTTATTTATTTTGTAATAATGAATTGATCTAAACATTTAAAAGCAACAACTTTATTGAGGTACAATTCACTTATCATACAATTCCCCTACTTAGAGTGTACAATTCCACGGTTTTTATTGTATTCACAGGGTTGTACAATCATCCTCATAGCCAATTTTAGAATTTTGTCATCATGCCGGAAAGAAGCCCTGGGGGCCGGGTGGTGGCACAGCAGTTGTGCACCTGGCTCTGCATGAGGGAGGTCCTTGGTTTGTACCCTGAGGCCTCCCCGTGCACGCCCGGAGCACACGCACTTGCCAGCGAGCTGGGTCAGCTGAGACTGGGGGTGGATGGTAGTGTCAAGACCTTGTCGGGATGCCTGCCTCTTTGTACCTCTCTCGGTTTCTCATGGAATAAATAATAAATCAGCTTAAAAAAAACAAAAATGAAACCCTGCACCTTGTAGCTACTATCCTCCTCTAACCCCATCCTCCCAGCCCTAACCTATTCTTTGTCTCCAGAATTATCATTGGGTGAAGCGAAAGATGAACTTGACAACATTTATGCCTTATTTCACCTGTGAGGGGCTTCCAAACATTCGTGGAAATACATATTATGAAGGAACTACTCATAGATTTCATTTTTTTTTTTTTTGCACCAAAGTGAACTCATACTTCCATTCTGTTTTCCACAAACTTTTTGAAATACCTTGAATGGGGAGACTGAGGCTGAGAGAGAATGATGACCCAAGCTTCACCAGATCTGAGACTGTGGAAGGCCTGAGTGTTAGCATTCGAGTGCAGCTAGCTATGCTTGGAGGTCATCTGACACCCTGGCCCACCAGCCCATGTTTAGCCTGATGCCAGCTGCCACCATGCATGCCTCTGCTGACCTGCGGGCTGGGCTCTTCATTTTCTCATTGGCTGCAATTTCTTGATATTTCTGTCCAGGCACTAGATACATTTAATATTTCACAGGTCAAGGTTGGGTTTTCCAGTAGACAGATGCTGAAGCGGAGGCATAGAAGGTTTTTGTGGAGAATAAGACCTGCAGGAGGAAAGAGGAGAAAGCAGAATTGGGCAGGAGAAGCCCTAACACCTTGATGTGCATCTCACGAATAGATAGCTCAGAGCAAAGATTGCTCAGTGGAAGAGTCTCCCATGGTGTAGAAATTGCCAAGTGT